GGCTGCTGTTTTTCCTGGCGCCAATGCTGGTCATGATGGTTCTGTACGCGCGAATGGGGCTACGTATCAGGCGAGCGAAAAAACACACCCTCGGCAAGGGAGTGCGAGGTTCTGTGCACGGGAGGCAGGCAGGCACAGCACCGGAAACTATTATCGGATGCTAGGTGAGCTTTTTTAGAATTTTTTTGTGTATTATGGTGTGTTGCATGAATTAAATCATGTATGTAAAGATTAATGAATTATCAAATGAATATTTGGAACTCGTAATTAATGGATTTATATGTTGAACATTTCTTGGATTTTTCATATATCAAGGACGTATATTTCTCATGCGGACGTATTACAATTCTATACTCATGCGGCGTTTATAATTTTATACGCTTTTATAAAAATTATAAAATTAATATTTTTCAATGCCGTTCAAGTACTTGCTCGTGCTTGTACGTTTGAATCTGATTACGGCAATGTAATAAAATTGTCTGGGCAAAGCCATTTTTAAGTTTTCTATGATTCAAAATTTTAGTCCTTCAAAAAAACTAATAGCGTGAAAGGCTCTTTGTTATGGACCAAGAGCCAGTGAATCTTTTGAAAACGGTGTTCCTGTAAAGCTGAAAATTTTTGTACAGGTGATTTTAATGTGCTAAGTACGGAAACGACAGGCAGGTTTTAGCCCTGCACATCATGGTCGTCCAGCGTTTGAAAGCGTAAAAAACACCCGAAAATAAACTTGTTCCTGTAAGGTTCAAATTTTTATACGATGCAATTACTCATTGAGAAGTTTGAAAATCATTCTGCCAGACCATTTCGACAAGTACCTGCCAGACGAGCCGGAAAGTGAGCAAAATATACCCCAAAATAATTTTATCCTTTAAAGCTGAAATTTACATATGTGTTTATCTAAGCAATTCTAAGAAGGTCTGGCAATTGCCAGACCATTCTAGCTAGCATAAGCCCTTGCCAGACGAGGGCAAAAATGCTATGGCGGGAGGGCGAGTATAGGCGTTGCATGAAAACTATAGCATATATTCAAACTATATTATGAAAAATTATAAATTATGATCAAAATAAATTTAATTAGTCACAATAAAATATATATTAGCATGAAGTATCATCATTATTAGATATATCGCTATAATACTTCATCGTCATAAGATTCGGCATTGCTGACTTATCGTCTATAAACCAAAACAAATTTAAATGTATTAATAATGTAATAAGATATAAAATATTACAAATTAAAATTTTAACATTACCGCCTATGTGTTGATCAGCTCCGTTTGCATCCTCCTCAGTAATACGAGAAGGAGTTGTGAATTTATTTAAAATTGAAGAAGGAACGGTATCTCCCAAAACCAATTGAAATCAAATATTCTTCAATCAATATCCAGCCAGTATTTTGAGGTTTAAGAATTGTTGGTACTTTTAAATGACTATTGAAAACTATATGTACTCGTGCAGCATGTGCTGCCGTTAAAATAGACATTCAGAAATATTATTTTTTCGAATTATTCTTAGAAAGGTTGTTGTTTATATTTTTCATTGAATGCAGTAAATAAAATCCATCAAAAACAACAGCTTCATACCAAAGTGTTTCGTTATCAGTTATATTTGCTTGTAAGACTTCAATCATTGTGATTTCGCGGCTTTATAGATAGTTCCATCTGCGTGGCAAAGTGACATTAAAACTAGTTGGTATTCGTATTTTGCCTTGAGGCAAGTTACATGAACTTCCCGACTTAATCAAAAAAAAATAAATAATTAATGAGTGAAGAGTAGTACGAGTGAATTTATTACACGTAATTGAAAACGAACGAAACGTTAATTGGAATATTTTTAAAAGCCAATTATCACGAATCAATTTTTATAATTGAACCAGTTTTGTAGGACTTTAATGGTTCGAATGTTCATCAAACCAAATATTCTATCGTTATACCAGGAAATGTTAATTTAATTTTAACAAATGTGAAAATGAATACTATTCTCTCAAACTTCGATGAATTTTTAAAATTAAACTACTTGTCGTAATGCGTTGGTAACCCAGGTTCGAATCCTGGTCACGGCAGTCATTTTTAAGCCTTTTGTGGTGCAAAATACTAGTCCTCCAAAAAAATCGATAGCATGAAAGGGTATTTGTAACGTGTCCCAGGTAGCCGTGATCGTCTAGTGGTTAGGACCCCACGTTGTGGCCGTGGTAACCCAGGTTCGAATCCTGGTTACGGCAGTCATTTTTAAGCCTTTTGTGGTGCAAAATACTAGTCCTCCGAAAAAATCGATAGCATGAAAGGGTATTTGTAATGTGTCCCAGGTAGCCGTGATCGTCTAGTGGTTAGGACCCCACGTTGTGGCCGTGGTAACCCAGGTTCGAATCCTGGTCACGGCAGTCATTTTTAAGCCTTTTGTGGTGCAAAATACTAGTCTCTAAAAAAAATCGATAGCAAGAAAGGGTGTTTAACGTGTCCCAGGTAGCCGTGATCGTCTAGTGGTTAGGACCCCACGTTGTGGCCGTGGTAACCCAGGTTCGAATCCTGGTTACGGCAGTCATTTTTAAGCCTTTTGTGGTGCAAAATACTAGTCCTCCGAAAAATCGATAGCATGAAAGGGTATTTGTAATGTGTCCCAGGTAGCCGTGATCGTCTAGTGGTTAGGACCCCACGTTGTGGCCGTGGTAACCCAGGTTCGAATCCTGGTCACGGCAGTCATTTTTAAGCCTTTTGTGGTGCAAAATACTAGTCCTCTAAAAAAAATCGATAGCAAGAAAGGGTGTTTCTAACGTGTCCCAGGTAGCCGTGATCGTCTAGTGGTTAGGACCCCACGTTGTGGCCGTGGTAACCCAGGTTCGAATCCTGGTTACGGCAGTCATTTTTAAGCCTTTTGTGGTGCAAAATACTAGTCCTCCGAAAAAATCGATAGCATGAAAGGGTATTTGTAATGTGTCCCAGGTAGCCGTGATCGTCTAGTGGTTAGGACCCCACGTTGTGGCCGTGGTAACCCAGGTTCGAATCCTGGTCACGGCAGTCATTTTTAAGCCTTTTGTGGTGCAAAATACTAGTCCTCTAAAAAAATCGATAGCATGAAAGGGTGTTTGTAACGTGTCCCAGGTAGCCGTGATCGTCTAGTGGTTAGGACCCCACGTATGGCCGTGGTAACCCAGGTTCGAATCCTGGTTACGGCAGTCATTTTTAAGCCTTTTGTGATGCAAAATACTAGTCCTCCAAAGAAATCGATAGCGTGAAAGGTTGTTATAACATGTCCCAGGTAGCCGTGATCGTCTAGTGGTTAGGACCCAATGTTGTGGCCGTGGTAACCCAGGTTCGAATCCTGGTCACGGCAGTCATTTTTAAGCATTTATGGTACAAAATACTAGTCCTCCAAAAAAATCGATAGCATGAAAGGGTATTTGTAACGTGTCCCAGGTAGCCGTGATCGTCTAGTGGTTAGGGCACCACGTTGTGGCCGTGGTAACCCAGGGTCGAATCCTGGTCACCGCGATCATTTTTAGGCTTTTTATGGTACAAAATACTAGTCCTACGAAAAAATCGATATCGTGAAAGTTTGTATAGAACGTGTCCCAGGTAGCCGTGATCGTCTGGTGGTTAGGACCCCACGTTGTGGCCCTAGGTTCGTATAATGTTATTCAATCTGAGTTGAATATTTGTGTTAACGTGAGATGCCGTACTATCATGTGTATTTTGTACTTTTATATATGTTTAACATTTTGGTTTATTTGTGAATCAAATAAATTCTTATTATAGTTTCTTATGAATTCCAAATCTATCATTTGTTGCATATAATATCTATATTGCCTTACAAAGATTTTAAATATAATTTAAGTAATAGTAATACAGAATATTATATGCAGATACCAATCAGAATATATTATACATTAAAATGATTAGAGTGAACCTGATCGTGTTAACTTTAAATTAATTCAAAGTTACTCTTGTGCAGTTAATGAATTTTGAAACTGTTTCGGTCAGGAAGTTGTTTACTTCTTCTCTTTGTTCAAGTTCAAATTTAGTTAACTAGTTACTAACAATGTCCATTTTATGCATAAAAATTTATTTGTTTTACTTTTCTTTATGCTAAATGGACTGAATTACACTACGTTTATGATCACAGAAATAGAAAATATGTTATAGTGATTAGTAAAATTTTATTAGCTCTAAAAAATCTAATTTATTATAATTAAATTAGCAGTAGATTGAGAATGCTATTTTATTGTCATTTCAGCTGCTGTTGTCATTGCATTTTTCCTCTGTTGGATGCCTTTTCATGCTCAACGTGTATTCTTCATTCATGGAAAAGACTGGGAATATTTTAAGGTAAAAATATATACATTTTTATGTCTTCATATTTTTTTTCATATTTTTATTTATTATCAGAAAGTTCTAGCGATATTGCAAATATTTGCTTTTTTTATTGATAAATTTTGATATTTCAATATATTTAAAAAAAACTATCACAATCGTTTTGAAATGTATTTTACACAAACTGCATTATTGTATTAAAAATTGAATGTATAATATTGATGGAAGATAATATAGTGAGTGCAACTAATGAACGTTTCATGTTTATTTAATGCAACGAAAATATTTTAGATTACCAAACAACTTCAGTGAAGAGATATTCCCTGTCAAGTAGCAAAATATATATAAAACAAAATTATAATTTATCTATTATTTTTTTGTTAATCTAAAACTGGTATTCACAAATGCATACAAAATTTCACGATGGACACTTAAAAATTATTAACGTTTCATAGCCTCCTGATTTGGCATACCTTAGATGCGGATACAATTTTTAGTCGACAAATCCGAAAACACAGATTAACCGATTTGAATAATTCAAAAAGTATTTGACTCATATTGATAAAGGACAGCAACTTTACATAAAAAAGTAAAAATAAATGCCATTTGGCGGTCAAAATTGATCATTAGACAAATGTTATCAAATTATTGGATATTTTATAGAGATTTTAATAATATAATATATATTTTTGTTTTCGCGCCTTGATATTTTGTTCTAAAATAGCTACGCAGAGTGATTCTTTTGAAACTGAAAAAAATAAAATAAAATAAACAAAATCAATTTTTTCAAAAAAGTCCAATTATCTAAAAAAATTCAAAATTAAGAAAATCTAACGTTTTCAAAGTTTTCAAAAAATTTTAAAACTTTAAAAAAATAAATTACGCTACTGAATGTTCCTGCAATTTGCCTTAAGGCACCACTACTAGTCAATCGTGGTGTGATAGAATTTAATGAAAATTTCAGTTTGCATTGAACACTCGTACAGTTTACATTGTACCTTTAGTCAATCAGGTATTGTGTGCGCCACGTTTTTGTAAACAATATTTTATCAGTTATTAGTGAAATTATATAGTGAAAGCAGACAATTATATAGTGAAGTTTTATATAGCAATTAAACGCAAAGGCACATTTATTTACGTCCTTCTTTTTTTAAATTGTTAATTAAGGATAATTGGTTATATGCAAAATATACCGCACAAATTACCATTGAAGTTGACTGCTGAACTAAATTGCAGTACCTATATTGAACAACATCTCACGTCCAACAAAATATCAATAAAGATCTTAGATCTTATATCTTGTAGGCCTTTTCTATTGAGGTGTTCGTTTAGTGCATGAACCTTGTCGATATGTTAAATTTTATCAAAAACGTAAAATTAAATTGCCAAAAAAAATTTCAACCGGTAATTACAAGAAATTATGGCTGCGAATCTCTACCAAAAACTAATCAGGTCAATTTCTAAACAATAACTTTCAAACGGTTTTTTAATTTTCAAAATCAATTCAGAATTGTGAGCTGAAACATGAATTAATTTTTTTTTTATTTTTCTGCTATTAACAAAGAAACGGTTTGGCCAATTGTTGCGCAAAACTAAGAAACAATAGTACTCATCGAGATATATCGAATGGCTTTTAAATTTTTGAATTTGGTCCAGCAGTTTTTGAGAAAACGTTGTTTTTAGGTAAAAAATCTGTTCACACACACATACTTTTCTCAAATTTGGTCTCATTCGATTCAGAATGGCTTGAAACATCAAGAAAACATAAAATTAGCGAATTGGATTTTTTGATGAAAACAAACTTTTCCTTCGAGAAGTTAATAAATTAAAATATGGAACTCCATTTAATTACAATTTTACCATTACAGGAAATAAACGAGTGGCTATTCTCCGTGGCCGGTTGGTTGTATTACATTTCTAGTACAGTGAATCCAATACTTTATAACATCATGTCAAACCGATATCGAGTGGCATTTCGCGAAACATTGTGTGGAGGCATTGGACGCTCTCGCCGAGGACGAGGAGTCGCCAATCCATCCGCAGGTGAGTTAGATCAGTTAATAAATTTTGAAAAAAAATGTGCAGGAACTACAGCTTTGGTTAAATTGGTTTATCCAAAACTCATTTGGAGGTTTACATCAACCGCTATAAAATAATTGACTGGGATCTTTATTATAGGATTGTGAAAATAATATATGTGAAATAAATTAAAATATATATTCGGGGCTATTCATTATAAACAAGTCTTGTCATATATTCTTACGTGTTATTTGTCCATGAGAAGGTTGGGTATTCAATAGTATATCCCTTCTTGGCTAAACTAAGACTTGTATCTTATTAGTTTTGTTTGTTTATTGCAAATTGCTGGAACTTCCCGTAACAAAAATATTTTTTTTTTTAAATATTAACATTTTTGAATAAAATTTACTCTGAAAAAATTAGATTTTTGAGAAACTATAAATTTTTGACAAAAACTTACTTTTTTTGAAAAAAAAAAGACTTTTTGAAGAAAAATTTATTTTGAAAATTCTGAACTTTTTTTCAAAGCAATCGTACTACTTTAACTGCATAGAGGCGAAATATCGAAGCGCGTAAGAGCCGCGTCGCCGTCTAACGGATAAACATTGGTACGCAACCCATAGGAATGTAAATAAAATTTATACTTATTGTTAAAATCTCTATAAAATATCTGATAATTTGATGTGCATACGTCTAATGATCATTTTTGACCGCCAAATGGCATTTTTTTTTACTTTTTTACTAGATCTCCGAAACCGATTAGTTCTTCATCTTGTTAATACAAGTAAAATGTTTTTTGAATTATTCAAATCGGACGCTCCGTTCTCTTAAAACCTGAGTTACCGTTTTTGGCACTTTTTGCCCCATATCTTTGGAACGGCTAGACCTGCTTCCGCCAAAAACTAATCAGCACGTCTCCCTATCAATACGAATCGAATGCTTTTCTTAATTATTCAAATCGCTTCATCCGTGTTCCCGAAATCGTCGACGAAAATTTGTATCCGAACACATACACATACACGCACACACACATACACACACACATACACACACACATACACACACACACATACACACACATACACACATATACACACATACACACACATACACGCATACATCCATTTTTTCTAAGGTATGCCAAAATGTTCAGAAGGTCTGGAAACGTAAAGATATATAAAAATTTTCATTTTCGATTTTTTTGCGATTACTATAACTTGCCCTACGGGAAGTTAATTATATATCTTTACGTTTCAAAACCTTCTGAACATTTTGTCATACCTTAGAAAAAATGGATGTATGTGTGTGTGTGTGCGGATACAAAATTTTGTCGACGATTTTGGGAACACGGATGAAGCAATTTGAATAATTCAAAAAACATTTGATTCGTATTGATAAGGAGACGTGCTGATTAGTTTTTGGCAAAGGCAGGTCTAGCCATTCCAAAGATACGGGGCAAAAAATGCCTAAAACAGTAACTCAGTTTTTAGAAGAACGGAGCATTCGATTTTAATCATTCGAAAAACATTTTACTTGTATTGACAAGATAAAAAACTGAAAATTTTTGGAAAGGCAGGTCAATCGTTTATGGACTCTCAATAAAAATAAGTTAAAAAATGCCGTTTGGCGGTCAAAAATAATCATTAGACATATGCACATCAAATTATCAGATATTTTATATTTTCATAATGTGTACACATTTTGTGTGAATTTTATTGGGTTCCGTATCAAGATTTTTAATTTTGAAGTTTATTTTTATGGTTTAAACAAATGTTCTCGACATTTTTGACAGTATGGAATAACCGATTTGGACAATTTAAAAAACATTCGATTCGTATTGATAAGGAGACGTACTGATTAATTTTTGGCGGAGGCAGGTCTAGCCGTTCCGAAGATACGGGGCAAAATGTGCCAAAAACGGTAAAACAGTTTTTAGGAGAAATTTTTTTTATTCAGAAAACATTTTACTTGTATTGACAAAATGAAGAACTGATAGAATTTTTGGGAAGGCAGGTCCAGCGGTGATGGACTCTCAATAAAAATAAGTTTAAAAAATGTCATTTGGCGGTCAAAAATGTTTATTGGGCTTATGGACATCAAATTATCAGATATTTTATAGAGATTTTAATATTGTGTACACATTTTGTGTAATTTTTTTTTTGGTTCTGTACCAAGATTTTTAGTTACGGTACGGGAAGTTCCAGCAATTTGCCTTAAGGCACGATGTCATGCATATCACTAGTTTCTAAATGAAAACGATATCACTAGTGCTTTACATAGCTTTTATCGTTTTGCTACGACATTTAAATTCAACTTTTGCAATAAGCGAGCATATAGTATTTGTTTTAGTTTAAAGTTCCGTATAATTTATATACGGGCTTCACCGTGGCTTAGTGGTTAGAACTTTAGTCTCCCATTTAGAAGTTTTCGGTTTTTATTTATTTTTCTATGGCAATATATTCTCAAGTAAAAATAATACTTGCCTAGCGTTGCAAGAAAAGTCATCATTTTTAGAATGTTTAATCATAAATTTATTAATACTAAACGAACCGAAATTTTTGTATACTCATTGCAACCGCGGGCGGTCAAATTGACCTATATTTATCTATTTTATTATTCAATTTTGCTCATCATTGATTTGTTGCTTAATGTATAAAAAATTGTTTTAAGTATAATAAAAATGTTATTAACAAGGTTTAACAAAGAGAATACTTGGCAAGCAATATAACTTATAGACCACAAGTTTAACACCACTACCAAAAATTCATGCATACCTATACCTACCGCGCGCGGTCAAATTGACCAACAATTGAAAAGTTAGATAACTTTATTATTTAATTCAGATAATGATTTATTGGTGAATGTAAATAAGTTAAAGAAATTTTCATGAAGTTTTCAACAATTCATGCATACCTATACCTACCGCGCGCGGTCAAATTGACCGACAATTAAAAAGTTAGATAACTTTATTATTTAATTCAGATAATGATTTATTGGTGAATGTAAATAAGTTAAAGAAATTTTCATGAAGTTTTCTAAAAGAAATGATGAAAAAGTAATAAAATTAAATATTTATAAACAATGCCTTATGCATAAATAATAGACTTTTTTCGTCTTTTCCCATTGTTTATCAATTATTTTAGTCTGATTTTACATTTGACGCAAATATATTTGTTGTTGCATAATTTTATTTGACAAGTTTTTCGTTCACACAAAGTCGATCTTATGGACAGTGTTGATAAAAACTTGATTTTCTGGAGATTTTGAATATGCATCGTCGAGTTAAAAAATTAACTAAATCAATTATTTGTGTCTAAAATGCTTTTACTCGTCGTCCCTTCATACAAAATTTACTCATACTAGGCTCAAAACGTTGAAATATACCTAAAGTTTGCACCTACAAATTTTTGACTACATGTTACAAATCCCACGCATCTGGTCTGTCACATTTTCACCAAACAATGTACTAATACAAAATCTAATAGTTTTTGGCACACTTTAACTGCTTTCTCATATTTCTGTTCGATAATGTTGGAAACTTGGGAGGATCATTTTTCATACACCGTTAGAGTAATGGAAGTTGATTTATACAGATTGATTAAAATCTGTGAGAAGAGAATTGAAATTGAATTAAATCATTGCACTTTTAGACTATTTTACAAATAAGAAAACTCATTTATTATATATTTACTATTGACTTCACACATCATCAAAACTTTATTCTAAATTTGCCTGGTTTATTTGGTATATTTTGTACAAATGTGCGCCTACATTTCGACGGAAACAACTTACTAAATAACAATATTTTTCACAGGTCAAATTGACCGACCGCGGTAATTAGACCACATAATAATTTTATTCGGAAAATGGAAAAAACTAGTGGGGCGCATAGCATTGTGCCTTAAGGCAAATTGCTGGAACTTCCCGTACCGTAATTAAACATTCGAGGAATGCGATTAATCAATAAATTGTTTTGAATAATTTCAAATAGATTATTTATCATAAATACATACTGTAATTTTTTAAGTGCTTTTTAAATTGGGCGACGAGCGTATTTTATAAACAAATTATGTGTATATTTACAAGAAATTTGTTCATTTTTTTTTAAATTAGATTTTTTTGATAATTTAGATCTTTTTTCAAATTTTTCAAAAATTTTTAGAAGTTTGAAATTTTTTGGATTTTTTTTTTAAAAAAAAAACGTTTTTTCTAAATTTTTTGAGAATTTAGAAATTTTTGAAAATATTCGATTTTTTTTCAAAATTTCGAAATATTCTCAAATATTTGCAAGAAATCGATTTTTTTAATTTTGTTATTTTGGAAATTTTTCAAAATTTAGTTTTTTTTTTGAAAATAATGAAAAATTTGGAAAATTTAAATTTTGTTTTTACTTTTTTTTGAATTAATCTAATCGGATAATCCGTTCTCTCAAAAACTGCATGACAACTCTTACACCCTCCATTCGCGCTCCATTTTTTCGAAACGGCAAACGCCTTTTGCAAAAACGCCTTGCGATCGAATACGAACCGAATGATTTTTCAATCATACGAGTCGGTTATTCCATACTCTTGAAAATGTCAAGGACATTTGTTCAAACCATATACTGGAATTTTAAAATCAAAAATCACGTAGTGCATATTATTTAATTCTAATCAGTGTACACATAATCAGAATCTATATAAAATATTCGATAATTTGATGTTCATATGTCTAATGAACATTTTCAACCGCCAAAAGGCATTTTTTTTTTTTTTTTATTAAGAGTCCATAACCGCTGGTTTGAAATATGCCTTTTCAAAAATTTGAACAGTTCTTCTTTAGTCAATATAAATAAAATGTTTTTTGAATTATTCAAATCGGACGTTTTGTTCTCTCAAAAACTAAATTACCATTTTTTAATACGAATTGAATGTTTTTTAAATTATTCAAATCGGTTTTTTCACACTGTCAAAAATGTCGAGGACCTTAGTTTAAAATTAAAAATCTTGGTTCGGGATCCACAAAAATGACTTTAATTTGAATTATTCAAATCGGACGCTTCGTTCTCTGAAAAATTGAATTACCATTCTTGTTTTTTTTTTGCGATAATTTCTATCCGCACACACACATACATCTAATTTTTTCTAAGGTATGCCAAAATATTCAAAACGTATTTGAAACGTAAAAATATATAAAAAAAATCATTTTCGATTTTTTTGCAATTACTATAACTTACCATACGGGAAGTTATTAACTAAAATTTAAAAGTGAAGAAAATATGATTATATTGTAAGAATTGCTATATAGTTTCTATAATGTTTTTTTTTTCTGAATATTTTTAACAGCAATCAGAACCTTACGTCCTATGAGCTGTTGGGCTGAAACTTCTTCTCACTTCGTATTTTTCAGATGGTAACCCAATGGTTAATCCATTCATATTTGATGATATTTGTTATTAGAATTAATCTAATAGGGCTGACTTTTTTATTGGTGCAGCAATGCCGGGCAAGGGCTATTTTCACTTGGAAACATATTGCTATATATATTTTCAAATGAAAATCGTTGTCACTGCTGCTCGAAGCGGGTATCGAACCCGGGACCTCTGAAACAAGTCCCGTCGCTCTTTACCGCTTACCTACGGGCGAGCCCCATAATGGTATTTTAACGTTTAAAATTGTTTGAGTTACACACAAAGTTCGGAACGGTCAATTTGACCGGCTTTGGTAGGTTTACTGTTAAACTTGCGACCCATCGTTGACAAATATTTGTACATTTTTATTCAAGGTTTGTCATGTCACGAGATGTCGACCGCAAGTGCGTACCAGGAGACGAGTCAGCTGATGCGCATTCGTTCGTTCTCGCGCCGATGTCGACAGAGCATGCGGCGGAAAAACAAAGAAGGCGGCGGACCACCGACGTACAATATGGAGTTACTCAGGAACAATCAGGCTCCTGGTGAGAACAGACAGAAAAATGGTGATGGGAAGTTGATGGCTATTCAAGCTTATAATAACGGCCGGTCGAATCACTACACGGGCAATAACTTTTCGGGTGCAACTCACGATGCGAATCACAAAGGCGAGACCTTTATATAGGTTGTGATAAAGATGGACATGTTAATTTTAAGACTTACATTGTTTTTGTTGTATGACTAAACTTATATATTAACTCGTATTAGGTCACGGTGCTATAAATCTATAGCAAACATCATGTTTAACTTAACGTTTTCCGTTTCTTTTATTGTTAAAACATGATTTCGTTTAAAAGTTAGTTTTTAACACATTGATAAGTTATTTTTTCAACCCTTCATATCATGTAGGGCAGGGCTTAAAGGTCCAATGCGGCCGCTTTGACCGGGACTGTCCCGGTCCTTGTGTCCTGGGTTTTTTTAAAAGCATATTTGTCCAGGATTTAGAGCCTTTGTCGTTCCGGGCTTTGCTCTTATTTGATAAGAAAACTACAACTACTCATCAAATATCTTAGTGTTACGTACACAGAGTAAGCTCATATGAAACAATACGTTGTGAATGAAAAAATTGCTGAATACAGAGTTTCGGAGGCAGGTTAAAATAGCCTCTTACATTAATAATTTCGATAAAAATGATTACAAAATTAAATTTGTTGACTGCTGCGTGGCATAAGTGATACTTTTTCGAGATAACTTTTTCCCTCATTTTTTCTTTAATCTCAGCGAGTTTAAATTACTTCTTACTCCTAATACAAAATTTGAATTCTGTAATTTCTACTAATAATTTTTATTCAAATTGTATTTAACAAATCAATTAAATTTCAAATTAACTATACATATATATTTTACATATAAGAATATATATATATATATATATATATATATATAATAGGGTGGTCCTTAAAATGGTCATTTTTGAATATCCTTAGGGTGGTCCTTAAAATGGTCATTTTTGAATTTCCTTGCTCCCAGGGGCTCAAATGGTTCCAAATAGATAAAAAACAATTCTCTGAAAGTTTTAGCTCTTAATATTAACATTTAGATAGAGCGCAATTCAATCAAAGTTTTGTATGGAAATAGCATGGAAAAATTTTCAAAAATTTTAAAAATGTTTTTAAATGTAATTTAGCAAACAAATGAATGAATAAAACTCATTTATTTGTCGCTAAGTTGTACCTAAAACATTTTTTTTTAATTTTCAAAAATTTTTCCATGCTCTTTTCATACAAACTTTGATTGAATTGCGCTCTATCTAAACTTTTATATTAAGAGCTAAAACTTTCAGAGAATTGTTTTTTATCAATTTGGAACCATTTGAGCCCTTGGGAGCAAGGAAATTCGAAAATGACCATTTTAAGGACCACCCTAATATATAAATATATACATATATATATATATATATATATATATATATATATCATTCAGATTGTCGTGGCGAAGATCGTTAACGCGCGCACGCATATGAATGGGATCGCGCGTTCGACTCCTCGCTCTGGCAATCTGACATCGGGCAGAGCGATGTGTATTTTCAATTGAAAACATAGATCAAAATATGTTTTCCATTGAAAATAAGCCCATCTCGAGCACTGCGATGTGAAATGGAAATGGAAAAAACTCTTACACTACTTCTTCCCTGTATCAGGTTGGAGTTCAACTCAGCTCACACACCTCCCTTGGTACTGGTATGGCAGTACTACCTATTATTTTATTTATAGTTTTTCTTAAATTCTTAGTCAATGACATGATCGATTCAGATATCTCTGTCATGTGAGTCGAACACACTACTAAATGAGCTATGTTCGCCACATATAATACGAATATTGATATTAGGCAATGTATCTTCTGATACGCGACGTCATGAGACAAGTTCTACTTTTTTTTAAAATTTTATTTGGCCTCGCTTTTTCTGAGCATTTAGCTACCTACAACATTTTTATTTATTTACATTCTAATTTTTTATATCACTTTCAATCTATATATGTATCCTATTCTATATTCTTGTTATGTTTCTTCTTCTTATTTTGTTCAATTCTTGCTCTTTTTCCAAATCTCTAATTCTATTTAACTTCTAGCTTCATTCCATTTTTTTTTCATTCTTCTTTTAATTTCAGCTCAGATCCAATATTTCTCTTCTTACTCCTAATACAACTCAGCTATTCGAACTCTGTTATTCTTATTTTTCTTAATTTTTATTCAAATTCTACTCAACAACACAATTTTTATTTGATTTCAAATGAACTATACATTTTTTTTCCTATATTCTAAGTCAATAACATGATTTGATCCGAAGATCCCTGTCGTGTGAATCGAGCACTCTACCAAGAGACCTATGCTCGACACAAAAGTTCTACTCCTACTTCAAAATATTATAGTTAAAAAATTCCATACTTTAATAGTTTTTCTACCTGCAGATCTTTAGGCCCAGCCCCGTGTTTTTGTTCGTGATGTTCTTGCGTCATGAAATTTTGTATATTAATAAATATCATGTTAAATGCTAAGCATGATATTAGGTGTCAACATGATTTTTTTTTTTTTATAAAAATTATATGGTAGTTATAGCACTACATAAGATGTTGTATATAGGTACTTCATACGCTTGTTATGACAAAAGTTTCCGGAGTCATAACAGTTTTCAATCATAAAATATATCATACCTTTGCAATTATTCTGAGCCAACATCGAGAACAGCTCAAATTTTGATATTTGTTTTAAATAGAAATATGTATTTTTATCAAGTACGTACATAAACATTAGGGCGGGTCGATTTAAAATTCGCTTAGGTACATATAATTTTCGGATACTAGGGATTAAAGTAATATACTTTGCTGAAGGAGCCATACCTCTAAAATAAATTCTGATGTCCCGTGCATTGACCCAAAGATTGTGCCAAATTCTGAAAAATCTATGCAACTTTCTTTAGCTATACAAATCGACCCGCCGTAACATACATACTTATATTATGTAATAGTTATGTATTGCCCAACCCCTAAGTAAGTATGTAATTACTCAATTTTCTTTATTTCTTATTACTTTATTTTATTTTTGTCATTGTTTTGTACCAAATAAATTTGAGTTTTTCTGAAAACTTCGCATTGCATTCGCTGCATGATATCGGCAATTTGACACTGGTCTATCTCCATTCAATTCTGAATATTATGCAAGTATTTAATTAACATCTTTTCCGATACCTTCATTACTTTCATCATACATATTTCAACTTTAGGATAAAAATTAGTGATAATTAAATATTTTTAAAAAAATATTGACTTTCAGCTAAATCTTAACAATATACTTAATATTTTTAAATTTACTTCGTTACTGGAACGAAAACGATTATTAAATTAACTGCTATTACTAAGTATTATGTTTTAATAATACCTGTAGTATACGTAAGTTGAATATTAAATTGTGATACAGCAAAATCTCACGTTTTGTGAACGATATTTGAATCTAATTGTTATATTATAATAGATTTTACAATATTATAATAAATTTATTTGATATTTCATGTATAGATATATGCAATACATGTATATGTATTAATTTTTTTAATGTATGAAATACATGAGTTTTTTTCAAATAACTATGAAAGAGAATTTAAAAGTAAAAAATTGTAGAATTTAATCAGGGATTGAAAACATTGGACAAGGTAAGTACACAAAATAATAAACAGACTGTGTTTTTTATACATATATTTAATCTCTCGATAATAATGAATATTTTTCAGGCTGCTGAAGTGATATTGTCATTTATTTTAGGGCCCATGGGTGAGTGATTAGAAATATGAGATTTGAATAAAAGTTGTCAGGTTCGATATCCGCCTTGAAATGTCAAAGTGTAGTGACATCAGTTTACACTTGGTAATACAGTTAGCAATATTTTACCAAGTGATAATAGCCTTTTTCGGCATTGCTGCATCAATAAAAAAATTATCACTAATACAAAAATTGTAATAAAAAGTTCATCACATAAAAAATAGGACAACAGTTTGAATTTCATCAATAAAACCGACATTAGCTAAATCAAAATCATCACAACAGCTGATAAAAATGAAATGTAATACGCAATAAATTACTATATTCATAGTCAGGAGCTTTTCATTCTCAAATTCCACAAGAGCTTGCACAAACTAGCTCCGAGTTCGATCTCAAGCTTGGTCAGCTAGATATCAGACAGCATGCTATCAAATTTTTGCTTGAGGTTATAGATCTCTAATATAATCTTAAAAGACGTGAAATTAGCCTTTAGTGGGCATTTCTGCATATACAAAAGCTAAATCAACATATTGTAACGACAATTGGTATTGTCGTCAAAAGGGTTGCACAACCATCAGTGCAATTGGACTCCCCCACCTGCGTCTACTAGGGTTCCTGCAATACGTATAAGGTCTAAGTCTGAGGTTGAAAAGACGCATTAAGAAATGTAACATCCTCTGAGGAGGAGGTCGGTCGGGTCCAGGCGCGAGTCGCTGGACCCGCTTTGTGTATAGTTGTGTGTGTGTTGTGCCAGGAGAGGAGAACCCGTTCCAGCAAAGGTCCGATGCATTATTGTTTTATAGGCTATTCCCTCGGTTCCGATACTCCTTATAGTATACTCTGTTATATCCGTAATACTATACTCCGCTAGTATAGTAATCAATAAAAATTTGTCAGTACGTTAGAGTTTAAGTATAGAACATGGCTGTGCGTAGGTACAGCCATGCCCTCAGATCTGTAATAATAATTAGTTACATTAAATAAGATAGAAGTACAATCTCTTTCATTCGCCTAGTTAGTTGGTTTAGCTTCCACAGGTAATTACAGGGTGTTTATAGAAGTCGGGTTAAGGAGTTGGTGTAACCCTTTCGTAATGGGGATGCAACGCTGAGATGTAATATTTGGAAGTTGTTGCAACACCCTAAGAAGGGCCCCTAATCACCCTTCCTTTAAATCGTCACAATGTAGTAACAATAATATGCATTGTCGCCAAAGGGTTGCACAACCATCAATGCATATTGCATCACCCACCCTTCTCTACTAAGGTTCCTGCAACATAAGGGTCCGGTCGACGGTTATAAGGTTTTATTAAGAAACAAGAACCCTGGACCCACTTAGTGTATAGTGGTATATGTGTTGTGCCATGGGGAGAAGAATCCCATCCAGCAAAGGTCAGACTCTATTATTATATTGTTATAGGACATGACTGTACGTAGGTACAGTTATGCCCTCACACCTGTAATTCTAATTAGGCAATATTAAATAAGGTTATAAGTACGTTATGATTCATTCATTTTAATAGTTATGTTATTTTCCACTGGTAATCACAGGTTGTTCTTACAGGTTGGCTTAAGGAGTTAGAGTCCAGCCGTTCATATGTGCTAATATATAATAAATGGCAGTCATTGCAGTCCCAAGAATGGAAACTTTAACACTTTTCTCGTCGCAGTATCATGTAGAACATACTGTGGAAAGATATAATAGTTATCAAAGTTATGTTAGTGCTGACTAACAAATGACTAGTAAAAACGATGTCGAAAAATAATTATACTATAAAAAATATTATTAACTTCCCGAAGGAGAAGTTTATGTTTACATCAAAAAAATCCGATTCGCTAATTTTATGTTTTCTCGACGTTTCAGGCCATTCTGAATTGAATGAGACCTAATTTGCAAAAAGTATTTGTG